CAGACACTAGGCAACAGAAAACAACATAATATTAGAGATATCTTTCAACACACAATCCAGGCCAGCAGTCCCACTAAAACCTCCACTGCGCACACAGTGGCCACACACACTACGCAAAAGAAAACAACATAGTATTAGAAACATCCTCCAACACACAATCCAGGCCATCAGTCCCACTAGAACCCCAACTGCAAACACAGTCGCCAAACACACTAGGCAACAGAAAACAACATAGTATTAGAAACATCCTCCAACACATAATCCAGGCCACCAGTCGCACCAGAACCTCCACTGCAAACACAGTCGCCACGCACACTAGGCAACAGAAAACAACATAGTATTGGAAACATCTTCCAACACATAATCCAGGCCACCAACCCCACTAGAATCTCTACTGGTTACACAGTCGCTACACACATTAGACAACGGAAAACAATATAGTATTAGAAAAACCCTCCAACACACAATCCAGGCCACCAGTCCCACTAGAACCCCCAGTGCAAACGCAGCCGCCACATACTTTAGGCAACAGAAAACAACATAGTATTGGAAACATCTTCCAACACATAATCCAGGCCACCAACCCCACTAGAATCTCTACTGGTTACACAGTCGCTACACACATTAGACAACGGAAAACAATATAGTATTAGAAAAACCCTCCAACACACAATCCAGGCCACCAGTCCCACTAGAACCCCCAGTGCAAACGCAGCCGCCACATACTTTAGGCAACAGAAAACAACATAGTATTAGAAACATCTTCCAACACACAATCCAGGCTACCAGTCCCACTAGAACCTCCACTGCACGCACAGTCACCAGACACTAGGCAACAGAAAACAACATAATATTAGAGATATCTTTCAACACACAATCCAGGCCAGCAGTCCCACTAAAACCTCCACTGCGCACACAGTGGCCACACACACTACGCAAAAGAAAACAACATAGTATTAGAAACATCCTCCAACACACAATCCAGGCCATCAGTCCCACTAGAACCCCAACTGCAAACACAGTCGCCACGCACACTAGGCAACAGAAAACAACATAGTATTGGAAACATCTTCCAACACATAATCCAGGCCACCAACCCCACTAGAATCTCTACTGGTTACACAGTCGCTACACACATTAGACAACAGAAAACAATATAGTATTAGAAAAATCCTCCAACACACAATCCAGGCCACCAGTCCCACTAGAACCCCCACTGCGAACACAGTCGCCACACACACTAGGCAACAGAAGACAACATAGTATTAGAAACATCTTCCAACACACAATCCAGGCCACCAGTCCCACTAGAACCCCCAGTGCAAACACTGCCGCCACATACACTAGGCAACAGAAAACAACATAGTATTAGAAGCATCTTCCAACACACAATCCAGGCCACCAGTCCCACTAGAACCTCCACTGCACACACAGTCGCGACACACACTACGCAAAAAAAACAACATAGTATTAGAAACATCCTCCAACACACAATCCAGGCCACCAGTCCCACTAGAACCCCCACTGCGAACACAGTCGCCACACACACTACGCAAAAAAAAACAACATAGTATTAGAAACATCCTCCAACACACAATCCAGGCCACCAGTCCCACTAGAACCCCAACTGCAAACACAGTCGCCAAACACACTAGGCAACAGAAAACAACATAATATTAGAGATATCTTTCAACACACAATCCAGGCCAGCAGTCCCACTAGAACCTCCACTGCAAACACAGTCGCCAAACACACTAGGAAACAGAAAAAAAAAAACATAGTATTAGAAACATCATTCAACACAAAATCCACACTAGCAGTCCCACTAGAACCCCCACTGCACACACAGCCGCCACACACACTAGGAAACTGAAAATAACATAGTATTAGAAACATCCTCCAACACACAATCCAGGCCACCAGTCCCACTAGAACCCCAACTGCAAACACAGTCGCCAAACACACTAGGCAACAGAAAACAACATAGTATTAGAAACATCCTCCAACACACAATCCAGGCCACCAGTCCCACTAGAACCCCAACTGCAAACACAGTCGCCAAACACACTAGGCAACAGAAAACAACATAGTATTAGAAACATCCTCCAACACACAATCCAGGCCACCAGTCCCACTAGAACCCCAACTGCAAACACAGTCGCCAAACACACTAGGCAACAGAAAACAACATAATATTAGAGATATCTTTCAACACACAATCCAGGCCAGCAGTCCCACTAGAACCTCCACTGCAAACACAGTCGCCAAACACACTAGACAACAGAAAACAACATAGTATTAGAAACATCCTCCATCACACAATCCAGGCCACCAGTCGCACCAGAACCTCCACTGCAAACACAGTCGCCACACACACTAGGCAACAGAAAACACATTTTGAGCACTGATACTACCACAATTTAATGAATTACGACCGCCTAAAATGATGCGCATTCACAGGTAGAGATCCTTTAAATTATCTAAAAATATCGTGGCGCACATTTGGCAACTTTGGCAACCGAAAATCGTCAAGCTGAATCAAAATTATAAATATGTTCAAATTAAAAGTCATAACACCTTGACATAAATTAAAAGTCAAATTAAAAGTCATAACACCTTCAAATTAAAAGTCATAAATTTTATAAACCTTTTAATCAATTTCTTCGTTTATAAAAAACTAGATCTACCAAAATTTCAGTTGTACGTATTGACTGACTTTCAGCTTGATGAAATCAAAACGAAAAACACAATACCAAAAGCCTTAATTTAAAACTAAGACAATTTTTATTCAGTGTTTTTTGGCAGATGTTTATTGATACCACGACTTTTGGGCCAAAGCTACCGTCAAAACAAGTTTTAAGCTATGAAAGAAGAAGAATCCAAGTTCTTACTTTCAACGAAGCACAAAAACCTATCATAAATCTTTTGGTTCCTTAAAAAAGACCTTATATAAAGTACCTAGACTGATATAACAAGCAACATTTTATTTGAGCCGACGAACGCTCGAGGCAAAACGCAGTAGAACGATTTTAGTTAGAAAGTAAACAGAATTAACTGCATCTTTACACATTTTGAATAGACACCGAAAAATGGTGAAAACTTTTTTTCAATAAGCTTATGCTTTGAGAAGTCAGCCGACAAAAACAAGCCGACAAACAATAGTCCGGCTAATCAAAATTTACAAAAAAAAAATCGAATTGCGAAGATTAAAAAAAATTGGGTTCTGTTCTTTTTTACTACTATAAAAATTGGAACTTTTTTCGAATTCTAGATCGGAATTCAAATTTCACATTTTAGGCTCCTACGATTAGATCAAATAGCAAGGGCTTCGAAGATTATGAGCTTTCATAACGAAGCGAGGTCAATTTCTTACGCATTTGTATAAAAACAGTTTTCACGGACAGAAAATTTTTTTGCAAGTACATGTTTTCTTGATCAGCCAAAAAACCGAGAAAAATTACGAAAAAAAATTTATAATAAAAAAATCGGACTCGTACTTTTAAAAAGCGCAAGGTTTCGATAATCTTATAATATATATAATAAAATCTGCAAATTAGGTTTTTGCACAGATTAAACCGAGAAAGAAATATTAACCACAAAATAAAAAAAGAACAGTTAAACAAACACAAAAAAAAAACACGTTATCATGCAATATTATGAACTTATCGGTTCATAATATTGCATGATAACGTGTTTTTTTTTGTGTTTGTTTAACTGTTCTTTTTTTATTTTGTGGTTAATATTTCTTTCTCGGTTTAATCTGTGCAAAAACCTAGTTTGCAGATTTTATTATATATATTATAAGATTATCGAAACCTTGCGCTTTTTAAAAGTACGAGTCCGATTTTTTTATTATAAATTTTTTTTCGTAATTTTTCTCGGTTTTTTGGCTGATTTTTTTTTCAATCAACAAAAAATAAGCAGCAAAAAAGAAATGGTCAACAAGGATGGCCGGTTGCTGCGCAAGTAGCACAGAATGTTCCGACCATAAAAAACAGCAGAAAATTTTTTTGCCAAATTAATGACGTTTTTAGCGCGTGGTGTGACTCGAGAACTATAAGATTGCATAAAAAATAGAGATTTAGGCATTATTGACAAAAATTAAATAAATTATGAGTCTCATTACGAGGCCAAATTGTGCATTTTGTGAATTGTAAGCGAATTCCGCAACAAGGACGCTCCTTTTGTTCTTCTTTTGTTATTTCATTTTCTTTGATCGTTCTGACACAATTTTACAATGTTTAAAGACTTGTCTCTGGAATCCAGGAACATACATACACAAAATGGTGCGCCTATCCAGTGACTAGTTTGGCCTCGTATTGCTACATAATTTCTAAGTGACGCAAGCCAATTATGACGCATTAGCAGTACCAGTCAATTTGAAAAAAGAGGGGTCTTTTTCTTTTTCCCCCCACCTCACACGAGCTTCAATATGTAGGTGTAACGAGTGGTTTTACGAGGTTGTGTATGGAGACCAAATGTGTTTGTCGTGGCCTTATTAGTCCGTATGTAAATTTTCATTAGAATCGGACAATTTGGTCAACAAATTCACATGTAAAAATTTGCAGGTGGGGGGAAAAGGAAAAAGAGCCAAAAAAAATTACCAACTAATATGCTTCAATCTATAACGCGGACGCATTTTAACTAGTATACGATAAAGCTCATTAAAAACATCCGACCCTTCTCAGGTTCGAACCCTCTTATTTTGCTGCCGCTCTCCTTGCTTACTTCTACGCTACAGCTCCATGAAACATTGAAGCTAAAGTGCTATTTGTAATAAAATAGTATGTGTTACTATCCTTAGCATTGGCTGTACTTAATAGCTGGTTATTGATCAAAATGAACACTTTCAAAATGAACACTTTCAAAATGAACACTTTCAAAATGAACACATTTTGTCGCAACAATATTTGCGACTTAGGTTGGAAAAAAGAGAGTTCAATACTATAGCACAAGATTTGCTTGTGCGAAGATGATGAACTGTTAATAGTGTAATGAACCTGACAATGCAGCGTGAGTGGGGCTGGTGGAGTAGAGACGGGGGGGCAGACTGTCCAGCTGACAATGATGCACAGGAATCAATGCTGGCACTGATCCGTCTTCACTCTCGCCACCATCTTCCACTGGAAACAGTCTTACATTCTCAAACCTAAGCAAGAAAAAGACCTATACAGATTCAGTAAAAATAACATATTCCCACTGAATAAATTAAAATTAAATATTTAAACAGCATGCGTCTAAAAAAGCATTGATGAGAAGGAGAAGGGGGGTTTGCTGCAGTATTACCTAAGAAGCAGGTACACTACAGGACAGGTGAAGTAGTAGCCAGCAGCGCGACAGCTGTATGCAGTATGCACTGCAGATTCCAACATTGACCTCCCTCCAGATTTTGAATTACATCTCTGCACAGCGTCTGCTGAAAAGTCACAGAGTATACTTTTCACCATCATGCAATTAGTACAAATGACTCATTCACGGCTCAACATGCATGCTGACAACTTGGCAATATTATGATTCCGACCACACATTGCTGGGTAGTTTTTATAGCGTAATAATGCTTTTTTTTCAGCCAATTTTGACTACTTTCAAGATCGAGGTTTTAATTAATGAATCATTTAAAAGAGCAAAGAGGATGCCTCAATTCAATTTGGAACGGTTTGTACGACGAAAAAAATCTCCGCTTACGACTAAATAACCTAACGTTTTAACGTCCAAAAATTTCATGCGCTTTAATTTTTGTTCCGACTTTCGATACGAAAGTAACGGAATATTTGTGCTCGGGGTGGGTTTTTTTTTCTTCAGACAAATTTCGACATTTTAACTAGCCATTTTTGACGGAATTTTTTTATATCATTCGAAAGGCATTGTTGTCCTGAGCTCAAAATTGAAAAGATATTTCACCTGTGATCATTTTTCGTAAAGTTATGAGGGTTTAAACATTGCCATTTTGGCCAATTTTACGACAATTAACGCGCGATATATTTCGCGCTATTAACGCGTAAGCGGAGAGTTAATCCGTCTTAGAAATCGTTCCAAATTGGTTTAACGAAGCTTATTTACCATAATTGATTTGTTACAAGTAGCGAAATCTATCCTTTAGTACTTTACATGGCGTGTGGGGTGATGATTTTTATTTAAAAAAATTCAAATTTTTGAAAAAAAAAAAAAATTCATTTTGTTTTATTACTTTTTAGTTTTTTAATGATTTTACTGCTCCATAAACCATAATGGGCAGTCGGAACATTCAGGGCTTCGCCCTGATACCAGCAGTCTTGTCTTAATTTGGCCACACTGTCAAACTTTAAACCCTCATAACTTAATGAAAATTATCGCAGGTGAAGTATTGTTTCTAATTTGGATCTCAGTGTAACAATATATTTTGGTTGATTACACAAAAATCCTTCAAAACATTCTAGTAAAAATGCGGAAACTTGTCTGGAGAAATCAACCCTAGCACAAATAGTCCGTCACTTTCTTCAAAAAGTTGGAACAAAAAGCTTTATATTTTGGACTAAAATTTAGCATAGAGAGGAAGTGGATAATTTCACTTCCTTTCATCGATAAACTCAGACAAGACTGCTCAAGTCAGGAGGAAGCCCTGATTGTTCCGATTGCCTTTTAAGGCCTATGAAGCAGTAATGACGTGAAAAAATTAATTATAATAAAAATAAAATAATTTTTTTTTTTTATAAATTCTCAGATTTTTTTGTGAAAATCATCCCCCTCACGTCATATAAAGTACAAAGTGATAAATTTCGCTCCTAGTGACAAGTCAATTATGGCAAATAAGCTTCCTTCTACCAATTTGGAACGACATCTAAGACGATTAAATCTCTGCTTACGCGTTAACAGTGCGAAATGTATCACGCGTTAATTGACTCAAATTGGCTAAAATGGCAATATTCAAACCCTCATAACTTTACGCAGGTAGAATATCTTTTCAAACCTAAGCTCAGGACATCAATACCTTTTGAATGATATAAAAATGGCTAGTTAAAAAGTCGGATTGAAAAAACCCACCCCGAGCCCAAATAATTCCTTATTTTCGTTACGAAAGTCGGAACAAAAACAAACAAGAGTGCTCGTATCAGGGCGAAGCCCTGAATGTTCTGACTGCCTTTTAAGGTTTATGGAGCAGTAATAACATAAAAAAATTAAATGAAATAAAAAAATGAATTTTTTGTTTCTAAAATTTGAAATTTTTTTTATGGAAATCATCTTCCCACACGTCATATAAAGTACAAAAGGATAGATTTCGTCCCTTGTAACAAATCAAGTATGGCAAATAAGCTTCGTTCAATCAATTTGGAACGATTTCTAAGATGGATTAAATCTCCGCTTACACGTTAATAGCGCGAGTTATATTGCGCGTTAATTGTCCCAAAATGGTCAAAATGGTCAAAATGGCAAATTTAAACCCTCATAGCTTTACGAAAAATAATCACAGGAGAAATATTTTTTCAATTTTAAGCTCAGGACAACAATACCTTTTGAATGATATAAAAAATTCCGTCAAAAATGGCTAGTTAAAAAGTCGAAATTTGTCTGAAGGAAAAAAACCCACCCGAGCACAAATATTCCGTCCCTTTCGTATCGAAAGTCGGAACAATAAAAATAATGGTTTATAATCAATTATAATCAATTATAATTGATTATAATTGTATCAAAAAATGGACAAATAAATAATTGATTATAATAGATTATAATGGATTATATTTAATTATATTTTGATCTTAAAAAGAGAGACAAGACTGCTCGTATCAGGGCGAAGCCTTGAATGTTCCGACTGCCTTTTAAGGTTTATGGAGCAGAAATAACATTAAAAAATTCAATGAAATAAAACAACAACAAAATTTGTTTTTTCTAAAATGTGAAATTTTTTATGAAAGTCATCCCCCCACACGCCATATAAAGTTCAAAACAATAAATTTCGCTCATTGGAACAAATCAATTATGGCAAATAAGTTTCTTTCGACCAATTCGGAACGATTTCTAAGACGGATTAAATCTCCGCTTACGCGTTAATAGCGCGAGTTATATTGCGCGTTAATTGTCCCAAAATGGTCAAAATGGTCAAAATGGCAAATTTAAACCCTCATAGCTTTACGAAAAATAATCACAGGAGAAATATTTTTTCAATTTTAAGCTCAAGACAACAATACCTTTTGAATGATATAAAAAATTCCGTCAAAAATGGCTAGTTAAAAAGTCGAAATTTGTCTGAAGGAAAAAAACCCACCCGAGCACAAATATTCCGTCCCTTTCGTATCGAAAGTCGGAACAATAAAAATAATGGTTTATAATCAATTATAATCAATTATAATTGATTATAATTGTATCAAAAAATGGACAAATAAATAATTGATTATAATAGATTATAATGGATTATATTTAATTATATTTTGATCTTAAAAAGAGAGACAAGACTGCTCGTATCAGGGCGAAGCCTTGAATGTTCCGACTGCCTTTTAAGGTTTATGGAGCAGAAATAACATTAAAAAATTCAATGAAATAAAACAACAACAAAATTTGTTTTTTCTAAAATGTGAAATTTTTTATGAAAGTCATCCCCCCACACGCCATATAAAGTTCAAAACAATAAATTTCGCTCATTGGAACAAATCAATTATGGCAAATAAGTTTCTTTCGACCAATTCGGAACGATTTCTAAGACGGATTAAATCTCCGCTTACGCGTTAATAGCGCGAATTATATCGCGCGTTAATTGTCCCAAATTGGTCAAAATGGCCAAAATGGCAATCTTTAAACCCTCATAATTTTACGAAAAATGATCACAGGTGAAATATCTTTTCAAATTTAAGCTTTCAAATGATATAAAAAATTCCGTCAAAAATGGCTAGTTAAAAAGTCGAAATTTGTCTGAAGGAAAAAAACCCACCCGAGCACAAATATTCCGTCCCTTTCGTATCAAAAATCGGAACAATAACTGGTACGCCTGGAAATAATATTCTACTCGGGATAATTGACAGCGGGTTTTTGCTCCCATTTTTGAAGAAAGTGACGGAATATTTGTGCTCGGGGTAGTTTTTATCCGGGCCAAACTCGACTTTTTAGCTGGCCAATGATGTCTTGAGCTCAAAAAAATGATACTTCAACTGTAACCATTTTTGAAACAGTTATAAAGGTTTCAAATTTGCCAATTTGGCTAAACTGGGTCAACTAACGCGCAAAGCTTTGTGTTATTAACGCGTGAGCGGCTACTTAATCCGTTCGTTCTAAATAAATCGTTCGTTCTAACTAGACGCTAAGGACATGACTATCGAAGACGTTGAAGGACAGTCGGAACATTCAGGGCTTCCCCTTGGTACAAGCAGTTTTGTTAAATTTTAGAGCTTAACGTGTTAACACATTCTCAAGAAACTTACCGAGACATTTTCAGTTCAAATGTTCTACAAAACAAAGAGGCCCAAAACCAGAAGGGCTCATCGAACTCAGACTTACTCGCGATGCAGATTTGTTTTTTTTAAAAAACAATCAAATGAAACTTATTATAGTCTGCATAAAAATGACTTTGTTAACCTTTGAAATCAGATGATGAAATAGAATATATGGTCGAGAGAATGGTTTTCAATCCGGAGAAATAGTTTAGTTTACTGAGAGAAAAATACATACAATTTTTTTTGAAGTATCCGCTTCTTTCAGTAAAACAAGTTTCATTATTTTGAAAGGTGTAGAGAAAGATAGGTCAATATATTTTATGCCGGTGGGATTTCTGAAAATTAAAATTCCTTTTCCAAATTGAAATCATTCTCACACACTATCTTTTCCATGGCATGGGATCGGTTACACGATCTGACGATCTCAAAGTGAACGCCTTACCACTATGCTAAATGCTGATTGTTGCGACTTTCGAAACGAAAGTAACGGAATATTTGTGCTCGGGGTGGGTTTTTTGCTTCAGACAATTTTCGACTTTTTAACAAGCCATTTTTGACGGAATTTTTTGATATCGTTCGAAAAGTATTGTTGTACTGGGCCTAAAATTGAAAAGATGTTTAATATGTGATCATTTTCGTAAAATTATGGGGGTTTAAAGATTATCATTTTGGCCAATTTGGGACAATTAACGCGCAATATAGTTCGAGCTATAAACGCGTAAGCGGAGATTTAATCCGTCTTAGAAATTGTTCCAAATTGGTTGAAAGAAGATTATTTCGCCATAATTGATTTGTTACTAGGAGTGAAATTGTTCCTTTTGTACTTTACCTGGCGTGTGGGGGGATAATTTCATTAAAAACTTCGAACTTCAGAAAAAAAATTTCATTTTATTTTATTATATTTTTTTTGTTACTACTGCTCTATAGACCTTAAAAGGCAGTCGGAACATTCAGGGCTTCGCCCTGATACAAGCAGTCTTGTTGTTCCGACTTTCGATACGAAAGTAACGGAATATTTGTGCTCGGGTGGGTTTTTTTTTCTTCAGACAAATTTCGACTTTTTAACTAGCCATTTTTGACGGAATTTTTTTAAAAATCATTCAAAAGGTATTGTTGTACTGAGCTTAAATTTGAAAAGATATTTCACCTGTGATCAATTTTTGTAAAGTTATGAAGGTTTAAAGATTGCCATTTTGGCCATTTTGACCAATTTGGGACAATTAACGCGCGATATAATTCGCGCTATTAACGCGTAAGCGGATAGTTAATCCGCCTTAGAAATCGTTCCAAATTGGTTGAACGAAGCTTATTTGCCATAATTGATTTGTCACAAGGAACGAAATCTATCTTTTTGTGTTTTATATGGCGTGTGGGGGGATGATTTTCATAAATTTCAAAAAAAAATTCGTTTTTTGTTTATTTCATTGAATTTTTTTAAGTTTTTACTGCTGCTCCATAAACTTTAAAAGGCAGTCGGAACATTCAGGGCTTCGCCCTGATACGAGCAGTCTTGTTTAGCTTTTGTAATTGGAGAGCATAATTTGCTTTTCTTACACTAAATGCGTTTGAATTACGCTAAAAAAATCAACGTCAAACTGCGAAAATAAATTGCAAAATCGTGTTTTCAGATCTGGGAATCAAATTTTGTGCTCCTGAATCATGACTAAAAAAGGCTCACTGGACTATCAACGAACTTTCTTTGAAGTAGTTAAAATACATTGGGGGGAGGGGGTGATTATAATCGATAATGGAAATGGAACTGAACGGATAATTGCGACATGTTTTACAGTTTTTGTGAGATGCCCGGCAACTCACAGAAGCACAATTGTTTCATGTTATTAAAAACTACTCACTTGCTTTCAAATCAGCGTTGGGAAACACTTGTTCGTCTCCCAAATCCAAAGTGAACCACATTTTCTCAACCCTCCAATCCTTCTCCTGAACACTCAAACAACGCAAATTATAACACTAGTCCCGCTTTTCAAATCCATATTTTCACCAAACATTTTTCCCAACATAGAAGCAAGTCAAATATTCGAACTGAATCAATTTCATTTTCCAATTTGTGTTGCATTTTGTTTCTTCAATTTCGAAATTTGATTGATTTTGATTCTTCGAAAAATATTGGCGAGATTTGAACGAAATAACATATATTTTCTTAGACGCCTTCGGAACTATACCAATGCTGGAAGCACAAACATAAGCAAACGTTTCACGAATAAGGATTGATTCTCTGCTAGCGTGGTTTGAAATTGTGTGCTAGCGTTTATGCAAAAATTGTGTGAAAATTGCCGATGTTTCCAATTCTGTTAGCTCAAAGATGAAGACTAAATAACGACTCAGATATCGTTCTAAGTGTACTAGCAGCCAGCAAATAGTTCACTACTACATGCTAATAGGTCACTTTGTGGGCCTGGGTCATTTTACAAATCGCTGGCTTTTCATACTACTTTGTACTTGGCATTAAGCATGAAGGGAGAATGTGGTTTTGATATCAGGTTTCAAAACAACAACTATCTTCGCATGCGTTAGAAGACAGCCGCACAATCAGGACTTCACCTTCGTACGGCCAATCAAGTTTGATTCTAAATCCTGTAGGCCAACTAAGCCACGCATACAAATGATGATACGCTCGAGGTATGATTTTAGAAATATGCCACGTTCCTAACTTATAGTTTATCAGGCTGAGCATTTCTTTTTAGTGAAACAACAGCAAACGAACATGTAGAAAACAAGATTTAAGAGATGACTCAAATTAACTGGCCAATGATTTCGAAATGCGCACTCGTTCAGATATGACTACCTGCATCCAGTTTCAAGCGTTAATAATCGATTATGTCACGATTTTAGTACCAGTCTTACTAAAGTTGAGAAACAATCGATTTTAATCAATTAACAATCGATTATTATTGTTCCGACTTTCGATACGAAAGTAACGGAATATTTGTTCTCGGGGTGGGTTTTTTTTTTCTTCAGACAAATTTCGACTTTTTAACTAGCCATTTTTGACGGAATTTTTAATTATCATTCGAAAGGTATTGTTGTCCTGAGCTTAAATTTGAAGATATTTCACCTGTGATAATTTTTCGTAAAGTTACGGGGGTTTAAAGATTGCCATTATGGCCAATTTGGGACAATTAACGCGCGATATATTTCGCGCTATTAACGCGTAAGCGGAGAGTTAATCCATCCGTCTTGGAAATCGTTCCAAATTGGTTGAAATAAGCTTATTTTCCATAATTGATTTGTTACAAGGAGCAAAAATTATCCTTTTGTACTTAATATGGCGTGTGGGGGGATGATTTTCATTTAAAAAATTCAAATTTTAGAAGAAAAAAAAATTTCATTTCGTTTTTTTTTCATTTAATTTCTTAAATGTTATTACTGCTCCATAAACATTAAAAGGCGGTCGGAACATTCAGGGCTTCGCCCTGATACGAGCAGTCTTGTCTCTCTTTTTAAGATCAAAATATAATTAAATATAATCCATTATAATCTATTATAATCAATTATTTATTTGTCCATTTTTTGATACAATTATAATCAATTATAATTGATTATAAACCATTATTTTTATTGTTCCGACTTTCGATACGAAAGTGACGGAATATTTGTGCTCGGGGTGGGTTTTTTTTTCTTCAGACAAATTTCGACTTTTTAACTAGCCATTTTTGACGGAAATTGTTTATATCATTTGAAAGCTTAAATTTGAAAAGATATTTCACCTGTGATCATTTTTCGTAAAGTTATGAGGGTTTAAAGATTGCCATTTTGGCCATTTTGACCAATTTGGGACAATTAACGCGCGATATAATTCGCGCTATTAACGCGTAAGCGGAGATTTAATCCGTCTTAGAAATCGTTCCGAATTGGTCGAAAGAAACTTATTTGCCATAATTGATTTGTTCCAATGAGCGAAATTTATTGTTTTGAACTTTATATGGCGTGTGGGGGGATGATTTTCATAAAAAATTTCACATTTTAGAAAAAACAAATTTTGTTGTTGTTTTATTTCATTGAATTTTTTAATGTTATTTCTGCTCCATAAACCTTAAAAGGCAGTCGGAACATTCAGGGCTTCGCCCTGATACGAGCAGTCTTGTTCAAATTTATATTTCATTAGTTTTACACAAAAATCCATTACAATCGATTACAATTGATTATAATCCCCCTTTTGTTTGCCCATTTTTTTCATCGAAGTTTCATCTGAATTGCTTATATTTTATGCTTTTTGTAGACGTTGGTTCCTATGAAAAATGAGAAAAAAATGTTTTTAAAGTTTTCCAATCAATCGAAATTTATAAGGTTTTTTTTCACTTCCTCTTTTTTATTAGAGTTGTTTTGTGATGCATTTTAAAAACTTTTAAACCCCCAAAACATCGGCAAATTGATATAGTTTCTTGATTGATTGATTCGGAAGATACAAGATTGATTCAGATAAAACAACACGATAAAACACACTAAAAGTACACCATCGCTATTTATTTTCAGCCGGATAAAACCGTGCAGTTTCTGATGGTGTCCCACTCTTTGAGACCACGTTATCCAATCACTTATATTAACAGTCACTTTTTTGTCACCCCGTAACAAAACTACCCCATTAAAAAAAGCTTGGAACCATAGCAGTAATCCAACAAAAAGCTTTAATTGAGAACAGACCAGCTATTCTTTAGTCATTTGATACATTTAGTCCCTCAAAAATATTTGCAATTCGATTAGTTTAAAAAATCTCTCATTGACGCGTTTAAAAAAGAAAACATACATGGTGCAAATTTAAGGCAGCAAAAAACGTTAGTGAATTTTATAAGAAATCACTCTGATTTACAGTTGAACGATTGTTCTACCATTTTATGAGGTTTAACCTTTGAGCCATCCTTCCACTTCACCTTATCTTCCACACAAACAAATACTAGTGGCATGTACTATCTTAAACAAAAGAAAAAACTACTAAGAACTCAAACTAATCATCATATCAAAATCAAAAATTCTTTTGTGACTTTATGAGCAACAGCAGTTACAGATGGCTAAATTTTTATTGCAAGGAGGGAAGAGCACAACCATGACTCTTCTACGGTAAAACCTGATGCTCAACTTTTTTGAAATATCATAAAATTAGGCAAGATTAATAACCCAAATGTCGCAATCGCCCTCGCATTTCAGCCTATATCAGCAAACAATGCAAGTCAATTAGTCCTAAAAACGTAGTTCGAACTGCTGAATGCATGAGTAAGGAACGACAAAAAATTTTACCAGTCTTACCAACAACCAGAAAATTCTAAACACCCATTAAATTCAAACATTTCCTAAAATTTGACACACGACAAAATAATCACGCGACATTTGTTTTATTTGGCGATTCTGATATGCTATTTTTGCCAGAAAAATCAATTTGTTTGTGGGCTGTCGGAATTTTTATAGCCACTCTTAATACCTTTTTTCAATTTTATTCGTTACATATTAGTCTTTTAGGGTTATCCCACGCTTGCAATTCTGTTCGTACCAAAAAAAAACGTAAAAAAACCAATTAGTTTTTTAGAAGACCTGCAATTAGCACCCCCTGAGAGTAGACAAGAAAAAATTCTGCTGGGTTTTGAGCAGGTCGCTATTCAAGCATTTCAGACAACTTTCCCAGAGTCCAAAAAACCTTGATGTGAAAGTCATCTCTCTCAAATATATAAAAAACGATAGAGAACTCGGATTAATAAAAAGAAGTTCAAATTGAATCACGAGTCGGTTTAAGCGCTTGCCTTCACGTTCTTTTGAAAAAAAAATCGGAAACTCCAATCTTAAAATAGTCGTGGAAGCTCAAATAATATGCGATTACACCAGAAAAAAGTCGGTAGAAGTTGCCAAAATGGCGAGCTGGGCTTTAGTTTAGATCCAATTAAATCAAAAGTTTAACCTGAAACGTGAGGTTCTATTCGCAGTTCACTTTTGAATGAAAGAGATGCGGCTTCATCCAATTTGGCCAGAACAGCAAATGCTCTAGAGGGCTGGTTTTTTTGTGTACAGCGAAAATTTAGCTGTTAGCTATCAAATATATGAAAAACGTTGAGAAGACTAGCTTAAGCTGGAGGCACCTGTTCAATTTTGTTAAAATTGCTGTACGGATGCGTATGAAATGGATATTTTTAAGCAATGCGCTTCACCAAAAACCTTAGTTATTTTTCCAACAATGTAAGAGTGAAAAATTTCGAGGACTTGGTACATAACAAGGTTGGTACAAATTTTAAGGCGTAGGCAGTAATAAACGTGAGCTTTCCACAACCTGTTGCCTCAATTCAATCCTTGATATTCGGTTCAACTGAGTAGTTTTCAAGAAGAGTCAAAAATTTCAAAAAACGGACAAGAAATCAAAACATCAAAACGGTCTGAGAGGAAAAAGATTTTTGTTAAAAAACTTTGATGTTTTCTTTAACTTTTTGTAGACATAAATTTGGAAGTGGCTGCTTACAAAACAGCTTCAAAAATGTCTTCCTTAGATTGAATCAAGAATCTAGGATTTGGGAGGGTAGTTTTCGAGAAGACTCAAAAAAGGTTCCAAAAAACGGTCAACAAATCACCAATATGAGTTTTACTAGAACAAACAACTGTCGAAGAAATTTTCTGGCGTAGCCTATGATACAAGGAAGCTTCTCATAATCCGTTCTTTCCATTGAACCCAAAAATTTTCAAATTTGGGAAGGAAGTTTACGAGAAAATGCAAAAAAAAAAATTCAACAGCCAAAAAAAATCAAAAATTGACACTTTCAAGGCACTAAATTTTTATTCGAAAAAATTTGATTGCAGCTGCTAATGCAGAAAAGTTTTTCACAACGTGTTTTTTTTTCGTTGAAATATAACTCTCCGATTTGGATAGACACATTTCTGAAAAAAGGAAAAAGCCAAAAATAAGGTCCGAATTCCCCGCAGAGACTTTTTTGAAGGCTGTAGAAAGTGGGGTAAGATTACAAGGGAGTGAGCGGGTTTTCCATGGTTACTGCATTATTAAAAATTGTTACAGTAGTTTTTGAGAAAAATATTGGTTTTGAGGAAAGTGAAAAAATATTCCAAAAGCTTCCAAAAAGTCCGCTCGCATGGTTTTTTGTTACTACCTGTTTATATTAAAGAACAACTGCAAACTTGCAAAAACACGCCTCTGTTCACAAAATCAGTTTATTTAAAGCCTCGAGTGGGCATCAATTTACAAAAAAAAATTACCGGACTCACACAAAATCTGCAAAATATTATGCCTGTTTACGAAGAAAAAACTGATTTTCAATTCTTTCGCGCTGTGACAAAATTAAGATAAATGTTGGTTCATTTTTTCTATGAATGTATTTTGAATTGAAGCTTTGTTGGTCAATTTTTCTGAGAAAATACTTCTCCTTGCAGCCTCCGGGACACGGTAGTTCAGAAGGGTTCAACGAGAAACGAATATAGCAAAAAAGACGAGGAGTGATTTGGAGAGGCATTTGAGGCTGAGAAACTGACCGTGGAGTAGATATCCATCTCGAGTATGTACTCTTTTCCCTTGTGCCAAGTAATCTTCAGTTTGGTCATGTTCTTGTCCTTGTAGCATTGTCCAGTTACATGAGTGGCCTGTTGAGGTGTGAAGTTCACGTTGGTTTCTCCCTTTTCGAATGTGGCGTCGGTGATGTGGTAGGAGGCGAACAGTTTCAGAGTGAAGTCGGCTGACACTCCACAGGAGGCGTGGTCATTTGGCTGAGCAGCACCTCCCCCCATTTGATAGGGCCACGACAGCACCTCCTTTAGCCTCACTTCTAAAGTATTTGTCATGATACGTATCCAGTTTTAAGAGAGTGGCCATCCATATCCAGTTTTAAGGGTTAATCGCTCTTTATTTTGAATCATAAGGGTATACTGCGACCCGGTCCGAGCTCAGCAACTTTGGCGACTATAAAAACTGCGCATCATATCATCTGGCGACCAAAAACCCTCACTAGCACTGAGATTAACGTCGGCCAACAGAGTTCCCAAGGCTGACACAGTCCCCAAACACAACAAAATCGCAAAAAAAAACAGGCAAAAATCAGGAGGAGTTAAAGAAAGAAGGGGCAGGCAAAGTCCCGACATTCAAGCAAAGTCCCAACAAAATACCCCACAAAATTTCTAGAAAAAAATTAGGTCAAAAATAATTAGGTCAAGAAAACTTCAATCTCAGTGATACAAAAAAAAACATTTGAGAACTGTTTTTTCAACCGCAAACTGTGAATTTAAAAAAGATACTTTCAAAAACTTAAAATGGAACGCTTCCTGTGGTAAGAAACAGCAAACCAAATGAACATTTGCCCTAAAACAAAAATTAGTTGAATGTTTTGCTACAAACTTAAAACGAAAATCCACGTTATATTTGGCAATCTAGCTAAGGAAAACAAGACTGGTCGTATCAGCGCGAAGCCCTGAATGTTCCGACTGCCTGTTAAGGTTTATGGAGCAGTAACAACATAAATATCAATAACAAATTAAATGTAATAAAAATGAAAAAAAAATTCTAAAATTTGAACTGTTTCCTATAAAAATCATCACCCCACACGCCATATAAACTACAAAAGATGGATTTCGTTCCTTGTAACAAATCAATTATGGCAAATGAGCTTCTTTCAACCAATTTGGAACGATTTATAAGACGGATTAAATCTCTGCTTACGCGTTAAAAGCGCGAAATATATCGCGCGTTAATTGTCCCAAATTGGCCAAAATGGCAATCTTTAAACTCCATAGCTTTACGAAAAATGATCACAGGTGAAATATCTTTTCAAATTTAAGCTCAGGACAACAATAGTTTTTGAATGATATAAAAAATCCGTCGAAATTTGTCTGAAGAAAAAAACCCACCCCGAGCACAAATACTCCGTTACTTTTGTACCGAAAGTCGGAACAACAAGCTTTTGCACATTTCAATCAGAGCGTTATACTTTTGTTCTTATGAACCATAGCTCAAAATTCTTGCAAAAGTAATTAGAACTTTTATTTTGTTACAGAGGCTAAGCTGCACTTTGCATATACAAGCGATAAAACGGCATAAAATACTTCTAAAAAAGTATTAGAAAAGTAAATACATAGCCAACTGACAGTTGAAGAGATAAGTAAACGCAGGAAAACAGAAAAAAAACTGACTTGTTTTTGAAAAAAAACTTCAACTTTCGAAAAAATTGATGACCGCAAGCAAACAGAAAAAAAACTTTCGAAAAACTGGATCAGTAAAGGTAAAATGCTTATTTTGCTGGGAAATCTGACAAATATATTCCAATTTCGAAATAAGAAGTTGATCGAGTTTTTTTTGACCTTATCATTTTTGCTGTTCTATAGTAGAGTTTGCCTTCCTTTTAACAAAGAAAATGAAGTGAACTTAGAAAAAAATTAAAAATCTTACAACGAAAAATCAAATTTGAGCTTCAACAAAATTTAGGACTTTCACTTGAAAAAAAAATGAAAAAAATCACCAAGCCCTATGTAAGAGCACTCACTACGTTCATTACTCTACTAAAAATTGTTTACGGATAAAAACAAGATATACAAGACTGCGTGTATCAGGGCGAAGCCCTGAATGTTCAGACTGCCTTTTAAGGTCTATGGAGCAGTAGTAACAATAAAGGTAATAATAACATTTAAAAATTTAAAAATTTTTATGAAATTATCCACCCACACGCCATGTAAAGTAAAAAAGAAGAGAATTAGCTCCTTGTAACAAATCAACTATGGCAAATAATCTTCTTTAAACCAATTTGAAACGATTTCTAAGACGGATTAAATCTCCTCTTACGCGTTAATAGAGCGAATTATATTGCGCGTTAAATGACCCAAATTGGCCATAATGGCAATTTTTAAACCCTCATAGCTTTACAAAAATGATCACATATTTAAAATACCTTTTCAAATTTAAGCTGAAGACAACAATAATTTTTGAGTGATAAAAAAAATCCGTTAAAAATGGCTAGTTAAAAAGTCGAAATTTGTCTGAAGAAAATACCCACCCCGAGCACAAATATTCCGTTACTTTCGTACCAAAAGTCGGAACAATAATGTTTTAGTTTTGTTCCGGAATCGAATCTCAAACTGGGATATTAAGTGCCTCTCATCCTCCCATCTGCTCCATGGCAGCTAGGAAACATTCTAACACATGCTACCAATAGAGCATCAAATAGCCATCTGTGAGCAGCATGAGTGCCATCAAATGAAGAAAAAATCTATCGCTGAGGACTGCTAGTCAGGTAATTGTTTGCAAAAACTAGCCATTAATTTTGTCTTATTTCTAGAAACTAATGTCCTAGTTTTATGGAGATCCGGTCATCGTGATGACGGGATAAAATAATGCAAAAACTTAGATTGTTCCAATGAAATGGAGAAATCTTTTGCTCTATTTTTGTTGGTCAAAATTCTGCGAAACCTACAATAAGTATTCCATTCTAGCTGTCATCCAAAACTTCCTAAGCTGAACTACCGACCATCGATGTACGTTCATCCAGTGGCGTGCACAGAAACTTTTCTAGGGGAGGCGGTTTTCTAGGGGCGGGACCAAGTTGTGCCTAAAAATTTGCATTTTTCAGAAATATATCGCGCCTTAATTGTCCCAAATTGGCCAAAATGGCAATCTTTAAACCCCCATAACTTCACAAAAAAATGGTCACAGGTGAAATATCTTTTCAAATTTCAGCTCAGGACAACAATACCTTTCGAATGATAATTAAAAAATCCGTCAAAAATGGCTAGTTAAAAAGTCAAAATTTGTGTGAAGAAAAAAAAACCCACCCCGAGCACAAATATTCCGTTACTTTCGTGTCGAAAGTCGGAACAATAAAGATTCATGCTATTGTTTTCAGCCATCTAATGAATATTAGCTACAGAAAAAGAAGAAGTTACCAACTTCCACGCTTTCGCCCCCTTTTACCCTTTTTACCAAACAATGTTTCACAATTCTGTAGACATACAATACAGCACAAGAGAAAGACTGATTAGTTGGAGGATTGAGGGAGTGATGAAATGACTCATACCCTCTGCTGTAGCTGTTCCCATCATTGAGAGAATGAAGACGACTGCAATCAGAAGGTGAGACACTACCCCCACCTGAACCTTGAACTTGTTTGCATTCACACTAGGAGCTGAGAGATTGCTGTTATTTCTATTTGCTTGCGCCATTTCTGACTTCTGAGCCCCTCCTCAGTACTGTTTCAAATACCTAGCTCACTGTCCTCCTCAACACAGATTCATCGACATCAGAAGAAAACTTGTGAAAAGTCCACTAGGGAATGTAAATTTATGCCTACCCGTTTAGTCTACACTAAAGAGGCAAACAAATAAACTCAGCATATCTGTATCAACAAAAATAAGGAGCGAGAAAAAGGGATGTTAAGTGGGCGGGCAATGTGTTGAATTACCAAATTAGATTGGATGGAACTTGGGAGCCTGAACAACTATGGTAGCCTAGTTGGCGGACAATTCGACTCATCACAATAGTTTGAATAAATTGATTGATAAAAATATTATATGCCATTTGTAAAAACATTATTTCATAAGCAGAATAGGAGATACACGTCCAGCTTATTTTTTCTTTCGTTTTCCATGTCTTCATTTCGTCTGTTTTTGCTGCTGCTACTGTTTGGCTTGGATGGTAATGTGAACGGCCATTTAATTTGTTTGCTGGGGCAGAAATGAAGGGAATTAAAGGGGGAGACCCTGTTGGGCCATCACTTAAGCCCGGCTGGGGCTCATATGGGGCTCATCACTTATGCATACACATAGGTGATAATGTATATCACACCAAGGGCTTCAGGGCTTCTACTTTGGAACACCTAACACAAGTGGCAAGATAGAAAACAGATTTAGAAGCAGCGAACGCAATTGGGATTGTTCTGCATAAAAATTATTCTTTAAGCCACCAAAACCACCCCCCTCCTCCCGATTCCACGCACTTGTGACAAACACACCTCAAAAAGTGGTTCGGCACAATAAGTTCGTATATGTCTACTCATTCGATTGGCTCAAATCGGGCGATGAGATTCTCCTTTGATATACAATCAGAGAGTTAAGAAGAGCTTGGTATTTTGACACCATTAGAGGCGCAAACTTCAGCTGCATCTTATTCGTCGTTTCGGATTCACTACAAGTAAATGGGGGAGAAATTAGATTTGACCTGCAATCTATCTACTGCTGCTCTTTGATGAATTTTGAATGCTAATTTATGTTCATGTTCAAATGTTCAAATGTTCATTCTGTAGATATACATTTCAGACGAAACTGTATAAATGGTCACATTCAATTCTTACTATATTTCGATAAGCATGTTTGAAACAGTTAAAGCCTTCTTAAAATGCCAACATATTTACCAAATTTGAGTTCTGATAAAAATATTTTTCCTCAGATTTTAGAAGCTTTTCGGCCATGTAAATTGTTTCCCGTAACTCAGGCCAAACCAAATCACAAATTATGAATTTGATTGGCAAGTGGTAAACTTTTTAAGGTTTGTTTAAGATACCAAAAAGGATTCGCCGCCTTGAATTCTCGAAATCAACGAAATACTTTATTTTTTTTTCTCAAAAAAGTCTTTAACCCAGAGGCGAAGTTGGACTTTGCAAACATAAGCAAAAATATGACCGATAACGCTACTGGGAAAACTGAATGACTAATATTTTGAGACTACAAAATTTCTCAAGGGACGCAAGCCAATTACGACGCATTAGCAGTACCAGTCAATTTGAAAAAGAAAGAAGTTTACCAATTGCACATGCCTCAATTTATAGAGCGGACGCATCTTAGCTAGTATACAAAAAAGTTCATTAAAAACATCCGACCCTGCCCAGGTTCGAACCCACATATTTTGTTGACGGTCTCCTTCCCTACACCTACGCTACAGATCCATGATACCTCAAAGCTAAAGTGTATTTATAATACAAAACTGCTCGTATCAAGGCGAAGCACTGAGGGTTCTGACTGCCTGTTAAGGTCTATGGAGCAGTAATAACATGAAAAAATTTAATGTTAATTAAAATAAAATACGTTTTTTTAATTTGAGATTTTTGTGAAAATAATCTCCCACACGCCATATAAAGTATAAAATTATAGATTTTGGTCCTAGCAAATCAATTATGGCAAATAAGCTTCCTTCAACCAATTTGGAACGATTTCCAAGACAGATTAAATCTTCGCTTACGCATTAATAGCGCGACATATGTCGCGCGTTAATTGTCTCAAGTTAGCCAAAAAGGCAATCTTTAAACCCCCAAAACTTTAGGAAACCATGGGTAGAATATCTTTTCAAATTTAAGCTCAGAACAACAATACCTTTTGAATGATGTAAAAAAAATACCGTCAAAAATAGCTAGTTAAAAGAACAAACTTTGTTTCAAAGGCGTTTTCAAAATTCAGACAACTTCGTGCAAAACTTGAATTCGGCTGCACTTAATCTAGATAGCTTCATTCTTGTATCAAATTTTTTCAATAATTTCAGATATTAGCAGACAGGAAGTATCATTTTCAATTGCGAACCAAAATGGATCCCACCTACTTAAAAGTTCTAAGACCAGACACTTATTCCAAACCCAGAAAACATGAAGTCGTGCTGGTTAACCGGTCATGCTGACAAAGAGTCTATTGACAACAATTTGTGAACAATCCTGATTTTAGTCCAAATGCTTACGGAAAGCTTTGATGTAACAATCAAATGCTAGCTAATTTTTTGATTACTTTTTTTGAAGAATAACAAATAGCAATTAGACGATTTTTTACGGATCAAACAAAATCACAATTTTAGTAAAATGTGAGCATAGAATTGAAATTTTACAAACGCTAAAAAAATTATTTTACCTCCGATTTTTTTGTAAAGTTCTCAGGGTTTGAAAGTTGCCAAACTGGCCATGTTCTGGACTAAATTATGCGCGCCTTGAAGAATTTATTCATTTTGCTGATAGGATAGCGCGAATTATTTATGGGTGGCGACTTATCACGCACAGAAAATCGTTCCAAATAGCTAATCAGATCGGTCGTATTAATTTCGTACGACTCCACGACTCAGCAAGTCACACTTTGATATTGTCCAAAACTTATAGGTTTTCAATATTTTTTTTTCCCAAAAACTATTCGATGTGATTTAAGGGACATTCGGAACGTTCAGGGCTTTGCCTTGATACAAGCAGTCTTTTTAGTACTTCGATCTAGCTCAAAAGCTCATTGACAGCCTGGGCTGTGAATTTCTAAAAAAAAACTGTATGTTAATGTTGCTTACGCTATTCGAACATAAGGATTTATCTATTTATCGGTTTTAAATTGGTTTGCAATGAGTTTCATATCAGCTCAGTTTAAAATATGAACTTCTTTTGATTGTTAATTAGGTCCAAAGTTAGGCATAAGCAAGCACCGGTTTTTTTACTTCGCCGGAAAAAGCAGTTATCCGTTTTGCAAAATATCTATTCAACGAAACAAGGCTGCTCGTATCAGGGCAAAGCCCTGAATGTTCCGACTGCCTCACAAGGTCTATGGAGCAGTAATAACATAAAAAAAATTAAATATAATATATAAAGAAAGGAACTTTTTTAATTTGAGATTTTTTTTTGAAAATCATCTCCCACGCGCCAATTTAAGTACAAATTTACAGATTTTGCACATAGTAACAAAACAATTATGGCAAATAGGCTTCCTTCAACAAATTTGGAACATTTTCTGAGACGGATTGAATCTCCGCTCACGCGTTAAAAACGCGACTTATGTCACGTTAATTGTCCCAAATTGGCCAAAATGGTCATCCTTAAACCCTCATAATCTTACGAAAAACGACCAAAAGTAAAATATCTTTTCAAATTTAAGCTCAAAAAATCAATACCTTTTGAATGATTCAAAATTTCCGTCCAAAATTGCTAGTTAAAAAGTCGAAATTTGTCTGAAGAAAAAAGAAGCACCCGAGCACAAATATTCCGTTAATTTTGTTACAAAAGTCGAAACAATAATAGTGGGTGTTAAAATTTTTGACATTTTCTGCACTTAATAGCTGGTTACTGATCAAAATGATCACTCTCAAAATGAACACATTTTATCGCAACAATATTTGCAACGCAACAACATTTGCGACTTAGGTTGGAGAAAAATATGGTTCATACGCTAACACAAGCTATGCTTGTGTAATATTCTTTTTATAAAAGCAAAACTTTCAATGCTATCCTTGTGACTTTATGCCTGGAGTAGAATTCTCATAGAGTAATTTCAGATAAAGTACACCGTCTGTTCGCCACGCTATCTTATTTTCGGCCGGATATTCTTGCAACTTCTTAGTCTAATACCGATCTTAGTCTTACTCTTAAATCTCCTAGTCTGAATAGATCTAGCGTATACTGGTAATTGCGAATTAGGTATCCGGAACTTGTTCCAAAGGAGAACAACTGTCTTCTAAGTTATATTCAAACTGTTCTGGTACTGAAACTGCCAGTAGTTTCAGCACTACAAATAATTGTCAGTGGTAGTAGTGGATCATGGTTGGTTAGTTCTAAGTATTTTACAGAGATAGTTTATCAAGAATATAATTGGTTATAAATACTAGTGTTTAACTGACTGGTTCCACTTGCTTAAAAGACACAGTAGTCTCACTCACATTTTGTAGAAAAGTTTCCTATATTTTCCTGGTAAAACTCTGGTGATTTTTGAAACCGACTTGTAGTTCCGACCGTTGAAAATGGGGAGGAAAGAACTATGCATTTGCGTTTGGTTTAGTTTGTTGCTGAGCAAATGTAAATGCAAGTTTGAACAATACTTGCGTTGCATATAGATGTTTGAACTATATTTGCATATAGAGACAGGAGTTGAGCGTATACACAATGCGTAGGTTCGAATCCCGTCTAGGACATTTTCTTTCTTAAACTCAAATATGCGCCGAGCTTGACGGGAATTAAATTTACGCTCAGTAACCGGGTTCGAACCCCCTAAAAAACCTTTTCTGTTTTATTTAGCTATTTAAACTAGTTCATAAAACGGCCTTGGTCGACCTTGGTTGACTGGTTTTCGTCTGTAAGTAACCGTGTTTTGCAAAAGTGTGAACGCACACACGCTGTTGAATATCATTGCTGTAAAAACGCTGTTGGATTTTCCAATTTATAGGTTGAAGTTATACCGAAAATTGTTGAAATTGTATTCATTTTTGTTATTTCAGATAGAAATAACCCGATAAATTGATTGTCAAATTTACTTTTGAAGCCTTGCTTTATATCAATCCGAGACAACGTGAGGTAGCACATTTTGGGGCCGCGAGCTGATTCAAATCGGGCATTTCGAAAGAAAAAGCCCTTTTTTAAATTGAAGTACGAGATATTATCGGCATAAAACGCAGGCCTTTCAAACAGGTTTAGAGATTGAAAACCGGAGGCCTTTCAATCAGGTTTAGAGATTGAAAATCGGAGGATTTTCAGACAAGTTTCGTGACAGTCGTGATACCCCCAGGGAACGGAGGCCTTTCAGACTGGTTTCGGGACAGTTGTGATACGCCCTCCCCCCCCCCCCCTTCCCCCCGGAAGCGAGTTTGACCGCGGCAAGCCACACCAGAAGGCAACTGTGTAGATTACAGAAGGTGTTGACTGACAGACTCCTGATGAAGTGGCTATCTACGGTCTATAGCAAAAAAAAACTGAAAAAACTGTAAGACAAACCAAGCCCCCCCCCCCCGGTTTTTGCACACTGTTGCAACCCCTTGAACTGTCTATCGTTAAT